GTAATATGGTTCCATCAAGTACCCTCGTCCTTCAGCCGTCCCGAGACGCTGCCAGTGGTTAATCGCCTGCTTTTAGAAGCGGGGAGTCTCTCTCCTGTTTTAATTTTGCTGGATGTCCACGCATCCATGCTGCGAACTGGGTATGAAGTCTGTGGGAGGTGGGGAACAAAGCCCCCTGGGCCCCTCCCCAACCAGGCACACCGCTCCAGAGACGAGGGCTGTGGTGCCGTTCCACCCTGAGCTCGGGTACTGCCCACCATTCTCTCCATAGTTCCTTCTTCAGCTCCTGGGCACACGCTCTTGGTGGGGGTAGGGGTGCAACATGCCAGGAGCCAGGGGAGGGAGAGGCCCACACTGTCCTCCCCTGTACTTACTCACCCTACTGTATGTCCAGCCGTGTCCTGCTCCCCGGGGCGGAACAAGACCAAAAGGCTTGACTCCTGAGTTACTGAGCTCCTCCCAGAGGCACCAAGGGGGAAAGACATGGCAAACCATTTCTTAGGCGCCAGGGCCAACCAAGAAAGCCCTCGCGCTCAGTGCTATTGGAAACACGGGAGTTCCACTCAAGGGCCGCGGGTCTGGAGAAGTGGGACATGTCACGTGGGCACAGGGACCAAGTGGACCAGTGGGGGTCCGTGGCTAGTCCGACTGTGCTGCTGCAGAAAGGGCCAGACTGGCAGTGAGGGGCAGGGGTCCCCAAGCACTGCTAGGAACAGCCTGTCGCCACGGAGCCTCCCTGCGGGCCAGGACAGTCCCAGCCTGGCCCCTCAGAGTGACTCACACTAGGGACATGGGGACAGGGCCTCCTGGCCATTCCCGTTTCAGCCCAGGCCCATCTTGAGCCCGGGTTGGGGGGGGGCTTCTCAGCATGACACCCGCTCCCCAGGAGGAGAAGGAGAAGCGGCGCCTGGAGCAGCTGGAGCGCAAGAAGGAGGCGCAGCGGCTGCTGGAGGAGGAGGACTCCAAGCTCAAGGGTGGCAAGGCCCCGCGGGCAGCCGCCCCGGGCAAGGTCACGCGCGCCCAGATCGAGGAGACACTGCGTCGCGATGGCCAGCACCGGGAGGCCTCGGAGCCAGGTGGGCAAGACAGGGCCTGTCCACCTGAAGCTGGCCTGTCACCACTCAAGGGTTGTGGCCGCAGGTCCCTGACCCAGTCAGAATCCTGGCCCTCAGCCACGCCACCAGGCCCCCATGTGGAGGGGGATGGGTGGGGCATGACCCTGTCAGCCTAGCTCAGAGCACAGACCACGTGTATCATCCATGGCACCCTCAGCCTGTGTCGTCCTCCGGGAACCAGGGGTGGGGAATGCATGGGGCAGATGGGCCAGGAGGGCACTGAGGGCTGGGTAGGATCTGGTGAGAACCCACCCACACCTGGTGGCCTCACTCACACATTTCCTTCCCCCATCCCTCTCACCGCCTCCTCTTCATCCTCCTGTCCCCCTTTCATCTGGTCTCTGCATCTCTGTGTGTCTCTGGGTCCCTACCCCCAGCTGAGAAGGCCCTGAGCCACCTGGAGGTGCCGCTGGAGGAGAATGTGAACCGGCGCGTGCTGGAGGAGGGCAGCGTGGAGGCTCGCACTGTGGAGGACGCCATTGCCGTGCTCAGGTGGGCACTTAGGGAGGGGGCTCCCTGGGACCCCTCTGGTGCCCCCAGACCCCTGACACTGGTGTCCTTGCAGCGTGGCTGAGGAGGCGGCCGACCGGCACCCCGAGCGGCGCATGCGGGCAGCCTTCACGGCCTTTGAGGAGGTGCAGCTGCCAAGGCTCAAGCTAGAAAACCCCAACATGCGACTGTCGCAGCTGAAGCAGCT